ACCAAGAGCTTGTAACACTCCAAAGAGAAAGGAAAAATTGAAATCGCATCATATGACCCCTTTAATTTAATTAAAACATAGTACATAAATCAAATAAAAAATATTGTACATTTTGTGAATATAGAAAATTTTCATTTTTTTCATTAAGAATAAGGTGTTTCTTTTCAAATGCTGCCACATCATTCAGTATCATCGTCATAGTCTTTTGTTCCTCTAAATTCATTTAATGTATGATTTTAGTCAGAAATATTTTAATGTAAATTACATTGTAAAAGTCCCAAAGGGGGCCTTTGAAGACTGATGCGCATGACCAAAGACTTACCTGCCATCTGACATCTGGATCAGCTTTCCTTTTCTGTGTTGCTGTATTTCATTAAGATGCAAAAGTCTATGACTATGATTTTCACAATAAATAGTTCAACTTTACATTGTTGGTTAGAATTATACTGCATTACTTACAAAATTAAAAATCGCACTGCATAGTCCTCATGCAACATGCAAAATTTTTTTTATTATTTATATATAAAAATGGGTATGCAAGTGTCATATAAACTAAAGTGTGTTTATAAAATATGCTTCTATAGTTAATTGCTCTTAAGAAGACAACATATTTATTTATAAGGCACTGCAGGGCTAAGAGTGTCTGTGTGTTTCAGCTGTTAGTACTTCGTTCATGCAAACCCAACCCAGAGCCACTACACCACCCCAGATTATAAATAGCATTCGCTCAGAGTGTTAGGACCAGAGACACCGACACATGCCCAAACACACACACATGAGAACACAGATTCATGTTCATACACACAGAAAGACGGCATGTGAGTCAGAAGTGTGTGAAGAACAGGTCACAGATGAAACTCAACAAGACTAAGGTACTGTGAACCTAACGGCTAACTAGCAAACGGCCGGTGGGTGTGATCTCAGCCCGACTGGATCTGCTCTAAACGCCTGCATTAGATGGTAGAGGGTTTGTATTATTATTGGTTGTGGTATTTTAGGTTGTAGATTAGTTTGTATATGGCGTTGTGAGGTACCACTGCCTGTATTTGTGCGGGACCCTTCTGACTGTGTTTGGTGGTGGTTTTATGAGGCAAACTTTGAATGCAGACTCTTTTGAATATACAGTTTTATTCTTTTCCATATTAGTTATGTTGTACTGATTTTTAGCATATTTAATGAATGAGTTACATTATTGTTTGTTTAAGATATGTTAACTCTTAATGTCTTATTCAAAGGTGTTTATATGTTGCTAATTGCATGCAAACTTTTTATATAGCAAGTAGATGATCTTACAGACAAAATATGGCAAGATATGATTCTTTTTTCTGATGGGCTGTGTTCAGAAAAATTTTCTCTATTGGTATGTGGAAAAAAAGTTTTAATTCTTAAACCAAATAAACCGGTTACAAGATAAATTGTATTTAAAAGGCAAAATATACTTATAAATCTGAAAAATATGGAGCAAGACTCATCTGGATTCATTTATGAAACATTTTTAATGTAAATAATTTCCAGTGAATTATAGCATTGAATTGAATGAGCATCAAACTGGATTAGATTTTAAAAATACATAATAAAATAATGTAATTTTCAATTGAATATTTAATCTATTTTAAATAAACCGTCCCTGCTTAAAAACATTTATTGCAGCACTGTGTTTTTTTTTGTTAATGTTGGTAGTTTATTAATTTCATCTATTATTTTTCAGCCGGACCTGCTGAACTTTAAGAAAGGATGGATGACCAAACTGTACGAAGATGGATTGGTGAGACTAAAATGATTTCTTCAAAGAGCTTTTCCAAACCAGGAATCGATGTCCTTGTGCTTCAGTGATGTTTGAATATTTAATATGGAGGTTATTCAAAAGGTTTGTTCTGCTTCTGTCTCTCAGTGGAAGAAGCACTGGTTTGTTCTGACCGATCAGAGCCTGAGGTTCTACCGCGACTCCATCGCTGAGGAGGTACGTGTTTTCATCAGCCATTAAACGCATTTTTTTGATGATGTGACTGTTTAACAATGTCCCTCATGTTTCTCAGGCCGCTGATGTGGACGGAGAGGTCGATCTGTCAACGTGCTACGATGTGACCGAATTCCCAGTTCAGAGGAACTATGGCTTCCAAATCCTTGTGAGTGATGCTGTTTTATTGTCTCAGTTGTATTTTACCTCATAAAGACCGTGCAGTAGGGCTGGTATAATGTATATACCAGAAATGTATACCAAATGTATATGTATTTACCAAAACTGCTTACTGAACCACATCAGGGCAACAGACAGGACTATTTTAGCTAACCATAACTCATACTGCAATATATATTTCCGCCCATCCCTGCGCTCTTGAGGTATTGATGCTAGACAAATATGTCTGGTAGGTTTGCAGTGGTATGTTTTCCCACCTAAATAAAGCTGTCGTGATGTTATCTGTAACCCTGACGCTGTTCCTCACTAAGCATTGTTTCATCACTAATGTCACCTGATCTGTCAGCAGCTGTGGCATCATCACATCCCTATGAAATAACACCCTGCAAGTCCAATGCCACATATCTGACGCTCGTCTGAGACTCTTTTGACTTCACAATGGGGAAAATAGATGTATTTTAAAATATCAAATAGTTGTTTTTAATATAAAAATTAAACGATTTTTCAGATAGTGATCACTTATTACAATTTTAATTAATGGCTTTATTTCAAACAACAATTTTACTATAAAATTCATACTTGGCATTAGTGGATTATAATTTGCAAATAAGAGATTTGACTCGAAATTTCATCTGGTCAATGCAGAAAAATACATACATTAACTTAGGGTCCCAGGTCATATCTAGAGACCACAATATCACATGGATACTTTTGATATGGGCCACTTTGCAATCACCCATAACACCCTAGCAGTGCATTGAAAAACATTCAGGACACCTTAACATCCTGGCATCAAGTCTTGCACAGGCAAGCACCACTTAGATTTCAGAAGAAGTAAAAATATAATGCAGTAGTTTACATTTACAAATGCTTGTTTTGCATGCTCCTGTATTTTATTAATAAAGCTGTTGAGATGTACTTGATATTGTGTTGTTCATCGAGGTGGCGAATAACTGTAGGTTCCCCGGTGCTGTTTTTAAAGTTATTTTAGAGATGTCAGAAATAGCAGAAAGCGTTGGCCGTCTCTGTGTACAGACGAACAGCGGGGCGTCAGTGTCAAGAAATGAATAACAACTGTAAATATAACTTCAGCCTGCTATCTTTATGCCTTGGATACAGAATGCTAAACTCATGTCTGAAACTCCTCTTCCCGTCTGATCTTAGTTTTCACTTGAGCTATATTTCACTTTTATTCAAGTATGTGGTTGGACTGTTTCTTGTGCAATAATATTGTTTCTGAATAAAAGGATGTGAGACTGTGACACGCTTTTGTTTATTTCTTTTGTAATTTACAGTGTCCCACAGTCGCAGCAAGTAGAAATATCAAGGAATAGTGATTTCTAGGCCTGTAAAAATATTTTAAATGATTAAAAATCTGATTTCCTATAATTAATATAATTTTTATGCTCTGAAAATGTATTATATAAATAATATTTACATTATATTTCTTTGCATCTAAAATATTTTGAGCTTAATAAGTCACAAAATCATGGAAATTGTTGGTTGTTTGCATGCTATTAAAAAATATAGTACAACATTACCTTTGAATTAGGGCTGCACGATAAATCGCATGCGATATTTAATGCGCTTTTTTATTTATTTATTTTTTTTTAAATAATCCTTGTCCAATCATGCCTGAAAAAGTCAGTTATAGAAACTCCTTGGTCAAAACGTGGATTTACAGTTGTATTGTAATTGAACAGCAATATCAGTATTGAACATAAATATTTGTCACAGTCTTTTTTTGTTTAACTGTCATGCATTTGTTAACTGATCTGATCATTTGACTCAGCATTCATGTCCTCGTCTTCCTCTCAGAGTAAGGAAGGGTTATTCACGCTGTCTGCTATGACCTCTGGGATACGTCGGAACTGGATTCAGGCCATTCTGAAGAACATGCGGCCCACCGTTGCTCCTGATGTCACACGGTGAGCTTCTACATCATGTTTACTGTGAAAAGGACAAAAAAGGAGAGAACATCAAAGATTTATACATGAAACTTCCCTCTGAATTAATTAGAATATTCTATATTATATTAAAGGTTAAGTCTGTCATTTCTGCACCTCTATTGACAACAATTGGCTTTTTCAATCTATTCGACTGGCATAACAGCAACACTGGTGCTGTGAGTAACAACAACTAATGCTGTGAGTTTGGAGTGGGACTACTTGTTTGTCTGTCCAGTGGCAGACCAGTTTGGTTTGTTGCGGCTAGTGGCACAGAAATGACAAATTTAACCTTTAAAGATCCACAACCTTACATAAACTACATACTTACCATAAAGCATTTGAGCACGTCAACTTTCATATTTCCTCTTGAGTTTTTCTGTCTGCTAAATGGTTCCTCAAACTCGTTTTTTTTTTTTTTTTGGTAATTATTTCTCTTTTCTTCTGTTCCTAACTTACATGTATAATTTATTTTCTTGTGTTTTTCCTGCTCTGGCTACAGGAAAAACGTGTCTCTGAAACTTTCAGTTCTTATGCCCAGGTTCTGTTATGTCTGAGCTGAATGTAGCGATGTGCTTTCATGATGTTCTGGCTTTTGTCTGCTATGTCAATAATTCCTGTTCCCATTTGCCTGTGTTGTTTGCTCTGTTTATAATGGAGCTGTTAATTTAGCATGCTAATTTAGTATTTTTAATGGTGTTATTACAATTATGGAGATAAATGGAGTAGAAGAGCCTTTGCAATGTATGCTTGGTTATTTTGGAGTTGTTACACCACCGCTTTGTGTGTTTGGCCAGTGTATTTACGATATTGGTGTTGATGTTTTGTTTTGGGCTTTTAATTTTTGAGACCGTTTAACAGCATTAAATTTATTAAATGCATTTAACACTTTTGCCTAATTTGACTTTCCAGCTGTTTCACACCACATGCTAACCAGACGCGAGACCATAAGTTATATGTGTGAAATCCTGTCTGAACGAATGGACATTTTGTCAGCTTCACACTGGATAGACCTAAATTAAACCTCTTAATTGTGGACATTTAACAAACTTGGGACATTTAACAAAGCTAAAGTCATTTGTTGTCAAAGTTGTCAGTTATCTATTATTGGATGATACTTTTTATTTTAGGCCAAAAAGTAATAAAAAATCATCCAATTGAAAAACAAAGCAGATTTTGTAGTAAGATTTTCCTTAAAAGAAAGAATTTAGTGCATTAAAACTAAACGCAGCTAGTCAAGTTAGGCTGGTACAGCGCATTTTGATGTTCACAACTCGCCAGTGTCTCTCCATCTCTTGTGATGTTACACCAGCTGCTTCTTTGAAGGAGATGAAAAAATAGTATTGCGTCAGTGCCCATTTTTAGATCGCACCCTGCAGCGCAGGCACACATGAGTGTTTACCGACATGTTTGACAGTGGTTGAATGCCATGCAATGACCAGATGGTTTTCCTCACCCTACTAACCATTAATCAAACCATCCTGTCTTCAGCGGTTTGGGTATGTGTTTTTCGACAGCTGTAGCACATTTTTTTTCTTTAACACTGTGTTTGTTTCACAACACATCTTGGTACAGTTATGTCACAATTAAGGAATAATTCAGATTTCCCCACAATGCCATATGCCACAATGCTTTGTGATAAAACACATATTGAAGTAGTAGCTGTGATGCTTGCCTTAGCAAACACCACTAGTAATTTAGATACTTAGTGTATTGATTCAGTATCTTCTTGCCTCACAGTTCCCTTCCAGAAGAGCGAACCAGATCAAATGTGGAGCAAAACTACATCCAGCCACCTTCTAACTCTTCGCAACTCTCTAACAGCTCTGTAGTTGAAGCTAAAAAGTCGCACGAGGACATCACAGACTCCGCGCCTACTTCCGATCACCGTAAGAGTCGAGTCAACAAGCGTGAGGGACGGTCTAAAACCTTCGACTGGTCTGAGTTCCGCCCAGGACAGGAAAACAAGAGCGGACAACCCTCAATAAAGAGGGCAGACACTTCAGTAATTATCTCATCTTCTCCTTCCTCCACCTCCTCTGGTGACCCCTCTCCCATCTCTAGCACCTCTTCTCATCAGACATCATCCTCGATTACTACCACCAGCCATACTGATAAGTTGCCACAGCAAGATGAAGAAGTCATGCAGGAATATATGCACCGCAATCAGATGGCACCTAAAGCAGGCACAGTCAATGCAACAACGGTGGCGGAGCCCCCATCAAAGCTCCCCCATAAAGTGCCACAGGAACAGGTGAGAATGGATGTAGACCATGCCAGAGACGCACAGGAGGTCGACAGTAAAAGCACGGCCCGCAGAAACTCTGATGTCCAAGTGGAAATTGAGCAGAGGTGGCATCAGGTAGAAACAACACCCCTCAGAGAAGAAAAGCAGGTACCGATCACTGGCAGCTCAAATGTACCTGTTGGAGAAAGAGCAGAGCTGACCCCTGCACTGGAAAAAGAGGTAAGAAACATCAGTATTTATTTCTTGCCTCATTTTCCATCTTAAAATGTTGATGAGTATGTGCAGATACAGACTTCTTAGATTTCTCTTGATTTATTCATTCAGGTCATTTCTGACCATTATATAATTTCAGATCTTTTTGCCTTCCTCTGATGTCCACAGTTAGGTCAGGCACAAAGGGATCTGGCGAGACTCCAGCAGCAGAACAGCATCTTACAGGAGCAACTTCAGGATGCCCATGGAAGAGAACAGAGTGCCAGGGAAGGATATGTACTGCAGGTACCCAAACAGATCAACTAAACCTAGTCAGAAAATAAACAGAAATCAAAATCTTCTGTAGTGTTTGTGTTTGTATCTCTTGCTTTTTTGTTTCAATACTAATATAATTTTTGGGGTATTAATGAAACCGCATGAGTGGTACTAACTGATCTGCAATGTCTTTCTTTCCCTGGGCTCTGACTGGGTTTTGGTTAAAATTCTTGTAACCAAACCACAAGTTTGCTGACGATAACAACATCTGACAAGCTTTCGGCTGTGCTTTTCTACTTTTTGTTTGGCTTTGTATCTGTTTCATCTCATGTCATTCACTTCTTTGCATAATTTGCATGGTGGTACCATTCCTCTGTTTTTCATTTTTCTTTAGTTGCTGTATAATAATCTGGTGTAGTGTTACTCCATTAGTTTCTTCTTCCTTCTCTTGTTCCCTCTTGTATTTTTTTTCTGTACAGTTCCATTTGTATTATCCATCAACACAAGGTTGCATTTCATAGTTGCATTCCGTAGTTCCTCTTTACATCTTGAAAAAGCACAGTGGAAAGCTTGAGTAAGTATGTAACTTCAGAAATTTAACTCCAAATGTTCCAGGGTTCCCAGCCACAGCCCAGAAGATGTTGAGCATCATGTCTGTGGCCATAAAAGAGAAGACTTCCTGTTACTAATTGCACTTTGCTCTTAATCTCTTAAAGAGTGACACGACCGCTGCAAAGCCTTCGCCTGGTGCAGCGTCTACCTCGGTTCACCGAGCACCATGGCAACGACTCAGCAAGCTGAACCAGGATCTAAAGTCCGAGCTGGAGTCCCAGCGACGGAAGCAGGATAAGGCCAATCATCAAGTTAGCAGGTTGCGGCGTAGCTACAGCGAAGCGAAAGATATAATAGGACACCATGAGGCAGAGATCGAGGCCTTGGAGGACAAGCTAACGGCTGCCATGGCAGATATTGTAGCGAGTGAGCAGGCTGTGGCACGAATGCGTAGCGAGCTAAAAATCGAGCGGGTTCGATGTCAAGAACGTGAGGAAGAATGGGTCCGAAATGAGACGACGTTACGGTCGCAGCTGCGAGATAGCGAGGAACGTCTTCGGCAAGTCGAGGCTAGTTTGCTAGAGAAGAACCAGGAACTGAGACAGCTTGAGCAGAAGCAAGCTTTGCAGAGGGACCAGCACAATGAGGTTCAGAGGCTACAGGAGAGACTTGCTGAGGCCACGGGACGTCTGATTTCCATGGAGGAAGCTCAAAATATGAGAGAGGAGCGGGAGAGGAAAGAGCAGCGAAGCCTGGAGGAGAAACATGAGCGGGAGCGGCAGGGACTGACCCGGAGATTGGTGGAATCCGAAGAGAGGAGGCATGAAATAGAAGAGCAACTGCAAGAGGCTCAAGAACAAGTGGAGGCACTGCTGAGAGGGAGCGGCGGGATGGAAACTGTGGAACTCAGGGAGGAAGTTCGTCGTCTTCAGCAGGAGTTGGAGGCGCAGGCGGATATGGTGGAAATGCTGCGAGAGAGCGTGAGGAGCCTGGAGGAGGAACGTGACCAGCTTACTTGCCGCTGTCAGGAACTCCTCAATCAGATTGCAGAGGCCGACCGAGAGGTAGGAAAGCAACAGGCATGTTTAACGATGGTGGAAACAGACTATCACTCTCTTGAGAGCTCGTATGAGCGTGTCTCAGAAGAATTTGCTAGGATAAGTCATGTGCTACGAGAGAAGGAAGAGGAAGTGAAGCAGACAAAGGAAATGTACGAGCAGCTAATCAGGCAGAAGGAGCAGGACTTGAGCGAGGCCCTCATCAAGATGGCTGCCTTAGGCAGTAGTCTAGAAGAAACAGAACTTTGCTTGCAGCAAAAACAGGAAATTCTTTCCAAAATGGAGCGTGACTATCCAGGAATGGTAGAGTCCCGTAAAGCGGAACAGCAGCTTCAGGCAAAACTGGTGGTTGCAGAGGATCGGATTGCTGAGCTGGAGGAACACCTCAATGCCCTGCGACTCGGATATGCAGATCTCAGAATGCGACGTTATTGCTCGCAGGAAGACCTGCTTGATGGTTTGAAAGAGATGCAACATGATGTTTCCTCATCATCAAGCACCTCCCAACTCCTGCTTGCAAGAAGCAGCTCCGAGACGGAAATGTCATTGGTACAGCGCCAGAGGATTCGCTTTTCCACTATTCAGTGCCAATCCTATCACCGGTCCCAGGGAGCAGACAAGTTTCAGACAGAAAATACATCTTTGGATCTGACACAAGATCTGAGCCTAGACCACATGCATGACCTGAGCCTGACCCAAGATATCGGTGTAGTCAGTGACCGTTCATTCCAGCAGTGTAGAGATCCAGAGAAGTTCATCTCCATTATACATGCTCTGGAAACCAAGCTATTGTCCACAGAAGAGAAGCTCAGGAACCTCACAGAGAAGATACGGGACCAGCCCGATCTTTCATTGATGCAGGAACACCTGAGCACCAGATCTACCATTGAGGACTACACAAATAAAACCTGTGATGAATTACCAATGGATGAACCCAGTCAGAAATTCCTCAAGACTTTTGGTGAGCAGGACAGTGAGGAATATGAGAGGGCATTGGCACTAGTAGAGTCTTGCACAGAAAGAGTCAGAGAAATTCTCAGCAATCAGAAAGAGACCAGTTCTGATGAATCTCTCATTTGTACCCTTGCAGAAGTAGAGAAACGGCTGGTTTGCGCCACCATGTACCTGAGGAAGGGCAGCACATTGTATGAGTCGTGCCAGATCTTTGATGCACCAGATGTGCATTTAATGCAGGAAGGTATAATGCGGTTTGCCAGAACGTTAACCTTTGAAGCTGAGATTCTGGAGAAGATGGGGTTCTCTCTGCAAGACCTGAACTCTGATATTATGTTGGCCCTGAACTCCATTCACAAGGATGCCGAAAACATCAAGAAGAACTGCAACGGCTGTCTCTCAGTTGTTTATGCTGATGTACTTACAAGAAAACTTATGCTGGAGACCATGTTCTTAGCAGAGGTGGACAAGCTCGAGATGAGTAAACTATCAAATAATGCTTTTTCACAGGATGTCATCAAGAACGTCTGCATTAGTGCTGAGCTTGCCTATTCGCTTCAGAATCTGACCATGAATTTCCAGGAAAAATTCGATGAGCTTCAAAAGGACTTGCTCCAGGTGAACGAGACCTTGAAACAAAGGGACATGGCTCTGACAGATGCTGTTAGCGCATCAAAACGCGCTCACATTGAGAGTATGACCCAAAGTGGTTCTGATCATCTTGGTGACATCGCCCCTCCTGAACTTGTCCCCTATATGGAGCAGATTGAGATTGAGGAAGCTCAGAGTTTAGCGGCAGAGATTGTCCGCAGACATTTAGCAGGCGGCATGCTATCCCATAGCGCAGAATCAGAATCGCATCTGCAAATGAGCTGGGAAAATCTCATCGCTGAGCTCAAAAAGCAAGCAAAAGCCCTCCGCAGTCTCTCTCAGGAAATTGAGAGGATCTGCGAGGAAGGAGAAACAAATTCACTTTCTGGACTTGCGGATGCCATCCAGATGAGTTTGTGGCATGATGACTCCAGCGCTGCTTGCATGCGAGAAGCTTTGATGCAGGCGCAGGTTGCATATGTTGCTTGCAGGTTGCGAGCGGGTCACACGAGGGAACTTTCTCTCTGTCAGGAGACTAGCCGCAACATGGCAGCGCTCGTCCAGGAACATGCTGAGAGTGTTGCAGCCATCCAAAGGCACTACCAGAGCTGCTTGGAGAAAGAACATCTTAGCTTCACTGGCACTATCAGTTCCTTGCAGGAGGAGAACGACATGCTTCGAGGAGAACTATCCTATAAGCTCAGGGAGCTCCAGGAGCAACAGCAGAACTTAACTCAGCTGGAAGAGGCGTTTCATAGGGAGAAAGACGAGCTCAAAAGCAGGCATGCAGATGAGATGGGAAGGGCCGAGCAGGAACAGATAACCAGAGAGCTCGAACTAATGGAGCGTGCCGCCAATAGCCAACGCAGGCTGGAGACCCTGCTGCTAGGAATGGAAGATGCTGAGTTGAGGCATAAGGAGCAAATTCGAAAACTTGAGCAGGAATTTCAGAGTAAGGTCCAGGAACTAGAACACGCCAACAGAGAGGACCTCCGCAAGCTACAAGAATGCTACAGCCAGACCATCTGCTCGCTGGAGGAGAGGAGCGAACAAGTGGAGAATGCATGTCCCATGGAGGAAGGGGATGGAACTGATCAGGTAACGTGCAGGGAGTCACTCCTCCGAATCCGAGAGCTGGAAATGCAGTTGAGCAGCATGAGGGAGGAGCTGGAACAGAAACCACTGGATGGAGATCTGACCAGCCTGAAGGAGAAATACCAGCGAGACTTGGAAAGCCTCAAGGTTTAACCTTTCACTTTTCAAATTTAATGTCACACCCATTCACCATCATAGCGCCATGTTTGTAGGACCCTCAGTAGGTTGTTACTGTTAGATTGGGTTGCAGTGGTTTTAGCTGAGTATTTCTTATTGTATTAGTTTATACAAGTTTCAGAAACAGTACACATTACAAATTACAAATATATTTATTTATTTATTATATATATCAAGTGGTTTTATGCTTCTTGGAGTTTTGAAAATAAAGCTGAGATGACCACTGCAACCCTGTAGCCTCATAACCATGATGCTTTCCCCTTTTTCCTATGCTGTAGTGCACATTAATAGCACTGGGAGTCTTGAGCACACACAACGAATGTACAAATGACCATGATTACAGACAAAACTATCATAAATAATTTTACTATGCTTACTGAGGACATCCTCTGTTCAAAAACACCTTGTGTTTTTAGAGGGTTAGCATTGTGTTAGTGTGTGTTTGAATGCATGAATGCTCTCTAGTTAACCCTGTCGATCATGCTGCTTTCCTTTAACTCCTCTGTGCTTACTTTCATCTCTCATCACATAAATAAATGTTTAAATATGTGAACACCATAGTTGGCGTAGCTCTGTAGATAGTCGGGCTGGGTAGACATTGGTTTTCTGAATTTCTATAATTTGACTATATTGATTAAAATCATTTAATTTCTGCATTTTCAGTGAATGCATAAACAGACTCCAAAATTGACTATTAAAGTGTGAAAAAAATTGGCTTTGCTGAGCAAATTATACACTTCGTCCACCATCAAGCCAAGATGTTATGAACTGAATCTGAATCCAAATTGAATCGATTCAGGGAATCAATTGCAGATATCCAGCCCTAGTAGAGAGCCTGCTGGAGTAGATTGTTTGGTGTTTGTTTGCATATGTGATCTGATGTTTTATGTGGAATGCAGGCGACGTGCGAGCGTGGATTTGCAGCGATGGAGGAGACGCATCAGAAGGTGATCGAAGACATCCAAAGGCAGCATCAGCGAGAGATCCGGAAACTTCTGGAGGAGAAAGAAAGACTGCTGGAGGAGGAAACAAACGCCACTATTGCTGGTAATGAATGCATCACATGCATCAATTTCCAAATTTGAAAGTGAATTACTTATGGCTTGTTTGTCTCTGCAAATTGCTGTCAGTGTGAATGCCAATTAAAGTGTGTAATGTTTAATGCAATATTATATCTAGCTCTATAATGAATGTTTAATGTCATGGAATTGAAGCATCACAGTAGGTTGTTTTGTGCACAGCGATTGAGGCCATGAAAAATGCTCATCGCGAGGAACTGGAGAAATCGCAGCGGTCGCAGATGAGCGGCGTGAGCGCAGACATTCAGGAGCTGCGCAGACAGTATGAGTAAGATGCCAAACATCACTTTATCTAGACAAAACATTCACTAGTCACTAGGAAGATCTACTTTTATTCACTGATGCTTTTTACCAAGCGAATGGTAAAGCAAAAGTTTTGACATGTTTTTTTTTACATTACATCCATGTAGAGAGGAGTTGCAGTCTATCCATCGTGAGCTGGAGGTTTTGTCTGAGCAGTATTCTCAGAAATGTTTAGAAAACGCACATTTGGCTCAAGCGCTGGAAGCGGAGAGACAGGCATTGGGACAGTGCCAGCGAGAGAACCAGAAACTGCATATACACAACCAGGTCAACCTGAACTTTAAGAACATTTTTCCAGGAGCTTTCTAAGAGGAACAGCATGATAAAGAAAATAAAATGTCTTATAATAATTTACGAGTTTATATCAATACAATTTTCTTTAGGGTTTGAAAATCTTCATTCAAGGCCAGTAAAATGCAGTACAAACTAGTAGATATCACCATACTTCCCCAGTTGACTGATTACATTAATAATTGCAAATATTTTTAGTATTACAATTGTTGTGTAATATTATTATTAAAATATGCAAATCAAGCATTGTTCAAAATGTTTCATTTTGATGACATTAGGGTCAAAGGTTGTTACAGAGATGATTTTGGAGGATCTCTTTTAATTATTCCATAAATCAGAAAAACCTAATCAGCAGCCAGAATAAACTACATTTAAACCATTTTTTAGGAATAAAATGTATAAAATTCGGCAAATTATATATTAACAAACCCCTTCAGTAGAAACCTTCAACATATTAATGGGAATCAACCTGTAAAAGTTGGTGTTTGTAAATGCTGCTGAAGCAAATGGCCTTAATGTATGTATTATAGTTGAAATCTACAGATGCAAAAATAAAGTGCAATAAAATAAACACTTAACACTAGAACCGCCAGGGGTCGCTGTATACCTAAAAGCGCCAGCGGGAAAATTTTACCCATGCACATGACAACATTATTTATATGGCTAAAGAACATATTATTTCACTGTATTATGCCACTGTCTTCACAAAGAAGTGTCTAGAGTCATGAAATGATTATGTCTAGTCATCAACTATATTTTTATCCTGTTGTTCTATGTTCAAGACTTTTTAATGCAGGCTACACTAATCCATAACGGTCAGTAGCCTAAGCTAAAAAAAAAATAAAAAAATAAAAGCCTGCACTGACAACGGAAATTAGAAGGTAGTAGCCTAAATATTTGGGTGGTGTAATATTATAATACAATGTCATTAATCAATATATTAAGATAACCCATGCTATTTAAATTACTAAAATAGCCTATAGACAATAATGAGTAATAATAATTCACCACACTGCATAGGATGATGCGATGACAAATTCAAGCGCACACCTTCACCTAAATATTTATTAATTTGTTTAGTTATATCATTTATAATTTGAATAAGATAACAACACCATTAAACTTTGGGTAATCAAAAAAAATTTGTTTTATTCATTACATCATAGATCTGATTTTTTTTTTTCAGGAAACGGCCAGACTAGAATAGCAACACAGTAGCGAACAATAAACGATAGGGCAAGACAAAAATTAAATAATTAAACCAAGGTTTGACCAATTAGAGTAACGTGAGGCTAAAACATGTAAATATAATATCTGGATCACTGTCAGGTGAGCCGTCAGATGCTGAGCCGACCCAGGACGCATAACTTACCATCAGGCTCTCCATCACTCATGGCATTTAGTGTTTCTAATACCTACCTTCCATAAATCGCCTTTTTTTAGTCATTTTGACTTTATGAAACTGATAACCGCTAAATCAGTGAGTGAAAGGCGTTGCCTAGAAATGTACAATGTTAAAACATAAGCGGTAAGAAAATGACAGCACCAAAATACATGCATTATATAGCGGGTAAATTTGACCCGTTGGCGCTTATAGGTATAAATGCACCGTTTTTTGATCTGGTTTTATCTAAATTTTTTAACAACATTGGATTGTAAATTAAATAATTTTAGTAAAAGTCAATGACTGGGAGACATGAATGTTTTATTTTAAATCTGTTATGTACATTTGAAAAACATCCACGGGTAAAATTTACCCTGTGGCGGTTCTAGTGTTAAATGTGTATTTTGGATGTTTTCTGAAGACATTACGAAAAGCCAAAATCTCAAAATTGACCAGTGCATGAAAAAACAATGTTTTTGCCTGTATAATCTTGCCTTAAGAATGATAAAAGCTAATAACTTTTCCCACCATCATATAAACAAAAACTTGTGTGGTTTATGTTTACAGGAACTAAATCATCGTCTGAATGAGGAGATCACCAGAATGCACTCCTGCATCAGTGAAGACAAATCGACTTCCTCTCTGACACAAGGCAAAGACATCTATGAACTGGAGGTACAGCACCAACTCTGTCATCTGAATTTAGATCATATAAAGTCATCATGCACAACATCTAAACATTTGCTGCAGGTTTTGCTGCGAGTGAAGGAGTCAGAGATCCAGTACCTCAAACAGGAAATAAACTCTCTCAAAGACGAGCTGCAGTCGGCACTTCGAGTAATATGCACGCACACTTACACGCTCTGTACATGTGTTTCTCTTTAACTGTTCTCTGAACAAATCAATGTCATTCAAATATGTGTTTCAGGATAAGAAGTATGCTTCGGATAAGTACAAGGACATTTACACAGAGCTGAGTATCGTCAAAGCTAAAGCTGACTGTGACATTAACAAGCTGAGGGAGAAACTTTTGGCTGCTACAGAAGCTCTTGGGGAATTAGACGCTGAAGGAAGTGGTGTTACTGCCGGATACGGTGAGAGATTTAAAGGAATAATTCATGCAAAAATGACAATTCTCTCATCATTTAACCACCCTCATGTTCTCTGCGTGACTTTGTTTCTTCCATAGTGCACAAAAGGACAAAAAGGCACAATTATTCAGTTGCTGATGCTGGAGAATTAAATTTTTGATTTTCAGTTTAATTATAGCAAATGAGATTTACATAGACAGAAATTAAACAAATTATTAATTCGTTTTATTGTATTATTTTAATATTTAATTTACAATTATAATTGTTTTACACAATATAACTATTCACAATAAAATTCAACTAATTGATTTATTAAAAAATAAAGAAATGTAGATTAAAATTGTTAAGTGTTAATGTTAATCTGTTTTCTGTTATTGGCTAATGCAGATCATTTCATATTTGATCATCTCAGATAACTGCCAAACATCATCAAATTTTTTACAATAAGAGTGTGTACAAAAACGAAACATTTTATTTTCTTTATCTGTGTCCGTTGCAGACATTATGAAGTCAAAGAGTAACCCAGATTTCCTGAAGAAAGAGAAATCCAAACAGATACGTGGGGTCAGGTCAAAGGTGAGAGGTCAAAGTGTGTCCGTCTGTCTGTGTCATAAATATACACTCGTCATCCATTGATTCTATTGATATTCCTGTGCATTTATGTAGAAAATCATGTTGGTTTTGTGATGGTTTAATGTTATGCTGTGTATATGAGTGTTTGAGAAATATACTTGTGTTTATTAGGGCTGTCAGTCGATTAAAATAAATCATATTTGAATAAATCATTGAATAAACTACAAAAAGTCAATATATATTCCGTTTTTTGGATTGTTCATGGCAGACCAAATTCTTGTATGCATGTATGTATTTATTCTTTTATTTTTATGCACATTTTTTCTTCAGATGATAAATGTAAATGGTACATGTTAGAAAAGGTAAATGTTAGCGAATTTATAATATTTGGTAATCATTGTATTTGTTCTTTTTTAAGTGACTGCCCTAGTATTTTTGTGTGTGAATTACGGAACACTGTACACATTGTGTGTGTGTGTGTGTGTGTGTGTGTGTGTGTGTGTGTGTGTGTATCCTCACATGTGTGTGCTGTCCTGTCAGGCAGAGAGTGAGGGGTTGTTCGGGGGTAGCTGACCGCTGTGACCCCCTCAGGTCCTACAGGTGAAGCAGGTATCGCTCTTGTGAGTACGGCTGTGTTTGCATGGAATATGGAGCGTATTACACAGTATACTGTACTTGACCTTTCATTCCCAGTTTTGTGAGTAAACCAGAAGCACTGGATGCCACTCGCATGCTCTGAGGTCAGCAATATAGTTTGAAAGGTTTAGCATGAAAATAATGCGTACTGTTTCAAATACAGTATTATTTTTAAAATGCCAGACGGTATGTATTATATACTGTGAAGTATTTATTAAGCTAGTACTCCATTGTGAACACAGCCTTTGAATCCTGCATGAACCCTATACCTCCCGACAGTTTAAAAAAATCACCTGCAACTTAACCCGGTCTGGCAGGTCGACACATAACCAGCACAGATCACATTTATCTGAGTGTTATGTGTTTGGACTGTTTATATGTTGGGTTTCTTGCTTTGTGTGTTTGTGTTTTGGTGTAGAATTTAGCCCTATTTAGATGGTAATTGTTTGTAAATTAACAGTTGCATTTACACTGCATTTACATGACAATATGCTTGTTGAAGTTGTTCATGTGTGACAAAAATGAAGTCCGGAAATAAAAACACTGACTTGTTGAGGTGTGATCTGACTAGCTCCTGTAAATGCTGAAGTAACTCATGTGTAAAACACTTACCGTCTGAATAGACTTTGTGTGTCATTGTCGTTTTCTTTGTGAATTTCCTTGTGATAAACCCTAAATATATTATACAACTTACAGGGATATTTAAGGATATTTAATACTTCCAAACTGTACTTGGGATGCTCTAATTTGTTTTAAATGCATTTGGGTGTACTTTTGGGGTAAATTATCTCTAAATTACATCTTTGTGCATCTCAGAATCCTGCTGAAATATTCTTCATTATTTAAAGACACGAGGAAATGAAGTGTCATGTGTCCCGTTTAGGTCTCGAAGGCAATGAGACAGATCTAATAGTGTAATAATACAGAAACCGGACACCGGTGTGTGTGTGTGTGTGTGTGTGTGTGTGTGTGTTGAGCAGGTTTGGAGTGATTCACGCCGTCTTCACTAACCTGCTGCTGTGGTGTAATGGAGTGATGTCAGAAGCTGAACATTTCCTCAACAACCACAGGAGACGACTGACTGCACTGGGATACGCCAATCTCTCCATGTGTGTGTGTACAGCGTGTTCATGTAAACGTCATTTGCTGGTGTCTTGTTGCACAATGAAGGAACCACAGCCAGTGAATTACAGACATAAAAACAATGGATCTAAACCTGTTTAGAGAAAACCAAGTGAATATAGAAACAGGCTTTGGTTTAAAACTCCCTGAATGTCCCTTTAAGAAATGTGCATGTCCCATAGTGGAATGTTGTGAACCACACAGAAGTGAAGTTTTAAGCAGAATGAATCAAGGTTCCGTCTGAACTATTTTATGGGTGAAATAGATGATCATGGGAAATCATAAAAGCTGATTGCAATGCAGGTCATTTTTAGTGGTTTAGACAGACAAAGTAAGTCACTGGAGTAAATCACTTTTTGGCGCTGTAGTTCTGCAATTTAATATACAGTCTATTTTATTTTGTATTTTTATTTTTTTGATTAATTTGATCTTATTTTTGTTTCTTTTTTCTTTTATTTAATTTTCACATTTTTATTTATTATTGTTATATACAACAGAACACATATTTGTCTGTTTGTTTGCATCTTTTTGTGACAGTCTTTTATTTACAACAGAGAATATCATTTAACTGGAAATTATGTTGGCTGTTGAATTTGAAAACCTAAACAGAAAATAATTTTTTTGCAGTGTGTATTTCTGTAACATTACATACAGTCTATTATTCATTTATTTATTTATGTTTATATTTAGCATTTTTAGATTCAATTATTGAATTTTATTTTTAGTTGTTTATTAATTACAATTTAATTTAGGCTATCATATACAGCAGAGAATATGTATGTATGTATTTTTTAATAGAGCAGCAAATATAATTTAATTAAATTATACTGGCATCAAATTTAGACATTTTTCGTAAATATGGCTAATTTCACCTAAAATAATTTTTCAGTATCTACCATAACCACCTTTATGGCCTTAGCTAGCAATGATATCAAAGTTGAATTTTGCTAATGAAAGTGCAATTTTGTGTACAGATCAATCAAGAGATTGAATATTCTGTGTGCAAACTGAAGTTTTTAAAGGATTGTTTTTATTTTTATATTTAATATGGAAAAATCACAAAATTCTTTCATCTCAGCGTTCTCTCTTTCTTTTTCAGAGTTTGAAGGAGGGACTGACCGTACAGGAGAGGATGAAGCTATTCGAAACTAAAGACTCCAGAAAGATATAACACACCTCACACACTTTCTTTCTTCCTTTTTTTTGTATTCTCGCTCTTTTATTGTCTTCATTTAGATCTTCTTGGTTGGTAGCTTTCTGATTGTGTTTTAATATTGTTTGTGTGAATTAAGGGAATGACTTCAGTATTGACACAGACCATGTTTGCCAACCTTCAGCTCCGATGAACCTCATATTTTTGGTGTTTTTTGGTCTCTAGAGGTCCTGAAGCTGTTCCTCATCATCACAGTATATATGAACACACTCAGTATTGAACTAGAACACTAGACGTGCGTGTGTTTCTCATTCGAGTTTCTTCTGAATGGCTGCTGTTGTCTTTGTAGGGGTGCTGGTGACATTTGTATGATTATTCTGAGAGAAAAAGAATTGCTGAATTATTGACAGAGAGAGATGTTATTTTGCCAATGATATTGTAAATATGAGTAAAGTCGTGTACGTGATAACACTTTTTCAGACTTTCTAGTACTGTAACCTTGAGATGAAATGACGTGGTTTCTATAAGTTGGGTAACGTGAGTGCGAGTGTGTTTTGTAGAGTGTTTTTGATCGTCAAGAGAGTTTCGGGTGATTATGTGCTTCAGTCATTTACTTGAGGAGAATCTAATTGCTGTTTTAATTGCTTTTGTGTTGCTTCTGGTTTATTCGGACGTGCAAAATTTAGAGCAACCAAACGTGATCTCTGCTGTGGGCTGTTTTGGCGTAAAGCGTTCGTTCGGCTACTGATAGTGAGCTTATTTCGTCCTGTAATTCCATCTGAACGCGGGACATTTTAATGATTTCGTTATTCCAGCGTTCGTGCTGTTTAATACTGGCCTTTGCATGAATATAAAGCACTTTGAGTCATTAATTTCTGTGTTCTGGTTTTGAAACATGTGATTCCATATTCCTTCCACTCCAGAATTCAGAAAGTATTGAACACACAACAAAGAAAACGCACTGTATAATAATATTCAATATTTGCTTTGTAAATAATTGGTTTTAGAGAAGATTCCTTTATCTTGTTCTCTCGGTCTGCATAGAGGAAAAAAATATCTTTATATCTATCTATAAGCGATATGTCTACACCTAATTGCCTATCTGTATGAATATTTTTATTTTGGTGTGTGTGAATGTGATGCATCTGTAATAATAAAAATGTTTTTGAATCAAAAATACAGTGATATATTGTCTTTTTAAAAAGAAAAGTGAATATTCTTCACAAAAAATAGATAAGATGTGAACAAAATTATGAGTAAAATTTTTTTGCTGCGTCCGAAGTCAAATTCTTCCCTACTATTTATTGTGTGAAAAAAGTACACCAAAAGAGTAGTATGTCTGAATTCATAGTATTCGGGAAAAAATTGGTGAAAAGTACCCGGATGACTTACTACTTCCACCGAGACTACCTATTACTTAAAGTATGCAACTATGCATTCAATGGACACTTTACTATCCCATGAGGCCACAGGACTTATAAATGTCAGTGAAGCAACGCAACAAATGTAGCACATTCTAATTAAAGGGATAGTTCACCCAAAAATTCTGTCATTAATTACTCACCCTCATGTCGTTCCAACCCCTCAGACCTTCGTTCATCTTCAGAACACAAATTAAGATATTTCTTATGAAACAGGTCATATGCTTAGTAATGGGTAACACGAAACGCCGAATCAGTCAAACTATTGCATTGCAAAATGATTAAAGGGGTCATTGGATGCGACATGCACTTTTACAAGCTGTTTGAACTGAAATGTGTGTTGGCAGTGTGTGTACGCAAAGATCCACACAGTTTTTTTTTTTTATCTCGTTAAATCATTTCCCCTTTCTCAAATTGAGCCGATCTCAGATGGCTGTCTGTGTGATGTCACAAAAACAGGCCCCTCCTACGATAGTTTGATTGACAGTAGCGTTTCAGCACAGACTGGACTGGTGT